CTTGACCGCGAAAACTCAGATCCCAGATCGAAGGCACGCTGTCGCCGCGTTGATCGATGCAGCACGTCTCGTTGGAAGGGTCATCACACTTCCGGTGTGTTCGGGGATCCACCTGAGAGGATCCACAAAAAAATTATCCACGAAACGCGCGCGCACGACGCGTATAAATTTTCAATCTCGAGTTAATACGAAAAACCGAGAAGAGGAAAAAAACACGTAGGAGCGTGAAAAACTGAACAAAAAAACTGTGTACCAGCGATGGAATACGATGAAATGGTGCGTGGTCGTTGCTCACTGGACGCGCGTGAACCGATCGACACGGTGCTGGTGCGTGCACTGTGACATGTCAGGTGGTGATTTTCGTCTGTCGGGCCGAACTCGACGGGAACTGGTCGCGACTTGAACTGACCGCGCAGCGAGAACCGACGCGGAGGAAGGAAGTCGGGATCGGTGATCGATGACACCGGTATGGATTAGAGCACGGCGTGCGTGTGTATGGTGGCGTGTGTCAGGAAAGGAAGAAGAGCGGATCCAAGCGAGCGGAGAGAGCGAGCGAGGAACGGCGGGGATCAGGGCAGTGGCTTGGCTCGGATCAGACTGAGCCGAGTCAACCGAAGGATTCAGATGTGCCTTTACCTTGCGCGCCTTCCTTTCCTTTCCTTTACCTTTCCTTCGCCACGCGTTTCATCTCGCTCGCGCGCGCGGACGTCTCGTGCTGTTCACTCTGTTAATCGTGATAGCGTGGACAGTGACGTAGGCTCCGCCACTCGGGACTCTTCCTTCGACCGTTTCCCCTCGGCTCCTCCTTCGTAACCCAACGAAATTGCGGCTCGTCACGCGACCACCGAAACCTTTTCAACGCCGATTGTTGCTTGGTTAAGCTGTTGCGATTATACCGGTCGATCCCGGTGGCGGCCTCGGATCGATGGCACAAATTTTCGTGGGGACCTGTTGCCGGAATCGAATGATAATTGGCCAGGTCGGTGGGGAGAGAATAGTTAACGCGATATTTATTGGCAAGAGATATTCGAACGATTAATTGTATAATTTTTAAATTTTCATCACTCGTGGATGATCAATTTCTTTCGTATTTATTGTCAGGAATTCTTTGTACGATAATTCCTTTGTTTTCGATCAAATTTTAATTCAAAATCACGTGCGTTTGATGTAGAGAATTTTTTGTGAATAATTCAAAGATTATAAATAAATTAAGAATCTTTCAAAATCAAATCGTAAAATTATATTAATCGCAATATTAATAATATAATCTCTTATATGATCGAAATATGCCAGATTAATAATAAAAAAAAAAAAAAGAAAGCTCGTATAAATAAAAAATTTATATATCGTTAAAATATATAAAAGTTACCTTTTTTAAGTCTTCTCTTTAATAAAAATAAGATATTCTATTAACAAAAAGAATTATAACTATAATTTTTGAAATATAACTAAAAATACAATTGAAACCTTTCGTGCCCATATATTTACAGAGAAAGGATACGGCACTGCGTGTAAGCACAGCATAGCGAAGAGCGTCTGTCCCTCTCCCAACCGCTACTCACCTTCCTCTGTTGAGGACCTCGGCCTCATGCCCACCATTCTTCCTAATACTTTGGTACACGACACAGAGAAAGAAGCCATATAAAAAGGTGCTGCTTCATAATGCCCATGCAATCAAGTTGACTTCCTAAAAATAAAAGAAAACGTGCGATACGAATTAAAAGCAAACAAAAAAAAAAAAAAAAAAAA